GGGAGGGGGTGAACTCATACAAACGCCTGCCGTAGCCTCGCATCCCTCCAATACCGGGACGGAGCGGAATGCCGGGTATTCGCCGGCCCAGGCTACTGGGGGAGGGGGGAACGAAAAAGCGCGCACCCCTCTGAGAGGTTCCGTGGGCATATCGACTCGGACCGGTGAAGAGTCCAGCAGACGCATTCCACCCAAGCCATGTGTAGGGGTGCGATCGCCTTGAGAAAAAAAAAGCTTCCGCCAAGGGTGGCGACATTTCGGCCCACAACACAACCATGACCGGCCGGCGAGACCTCGATCGATACGCCTCCGGTGTGTTTTAACGAGCGGGCATGCTGGCATATGACTACCCCCAACCTTTCCCCTAACCGCGGACTAAAAAGCACACACCTTTGCGAATCTCCAGATGACGCGCGCGATGTAAAGGCTCAGGGCGAACAAAAAAATGAACCAAAAGTAACTGACACCGCCGCCGCGCCAGCGAAGGTGGCGGAACCGGAGCAAGTGGGAGAGAGCAAGCGATGGGTCGAAAGGGCACGGCAGGCAAACCAAAAAAAGATTAAGCGCAGAAATACTGGGTGTCTTTAACAGGCGTGTACACTTGCTAAACCAACCAACTGCGTTGTTTGCAGTGGGGGGAAGGGGGGGGGGGGGGGGGGGGGGGGGGGTACGTGCTCGTCGAATCCGGACCACAGTAAAAGCAGGGGGGGACTCCCATCATTCGCGCTTGTGACGTATCATGCACATGTCCTCAAGGAGAGGAGGCAGGAAAAGGTGCGCCACAAAAAAATACAGGCGCAATCGCCTCCATCCCGAGCACGCCGCTTCGAGAAACGGAAACAATCCACCGAAAAACCGCTCATATACCTCCTCTNATCTTGTCTATCCTAACGATATCCCTTACCGCCTTTTCAACCCACCTCCTATGCCCCACTACAGCTACCGTCCTTTCCTCTCTATTCCATGCCTCAAACATCTCCCCGTACGTTCCACCTATTTTTCCCAGCTCAGTCACGTACACTTCCCTCTCCTTCTTGTACAACGGACATTCCGCGACTACATGAACACGGTCTTCGCATTCGAAACCGCAATCACATTTGAACTCGTCGTCTTCCTCGTCTACCGTCTTATGTCTTCGTCGACGTTCTCGAAGGCCTACGTCCCCGGTCCTGCATTTGACCTTAAGCTTTGTTCCTGCATCCATTGGTCCATGTAGGTAGTCCTTGAACCCTGTTCCTTCCTTCAACACTCCGTACACTTCTAGACCCTCCTTATCCTTTGATTCTTTCCTCAGATTCTGTTCTTCTCTCTCGGCACAAGCAACAGATATCTTCTCCTTGAACCCCTGTAGACCCTCCGTTTCCAGCGTTTCATCTTCG